ACGAATGCAGTGAATTGCAGAGAAATGAAATGCTGAGTTTAGGTCTGCAAAGTTGCTAAGTCTGAAAGGTTTAAAGGTGTGAATACGGATTATTGTACAATATCAGCAAGTAATCATCTGACCTTTCAGCAATAGTTTCTTCCCTCCAGTCATGATGTCTGGGTACTTCTGCAAGCATGTCAAGTGCTGTAAGGACTTCAGGCCTCTTAGAGACATGGTATGGAGATTCATTGTTCTGCTAATCCTTTCATTATTCGTAATTTCTCACATTAATAAACCATCATCATATTACTTGGCATTCTGAAAACACTTTTCCTGATCAGTTTACTTTTCAGAACATCTTTCCTACCTTAGTGAAGCTTGTATATCCAGGGGAATAAACCTCATATATCTTTTTTCCTTTCCCTGCTTCTTTTTCATCTGTGGTTAACTCTACTGCCTACCAGGAATAAGGTTAGTATGAGTCTGCAACTTTGGCAATAGCAAACAAAAGTTCACCAGCTTCCTCCTCATACTTCATAAGTTTTAATTTACTTATGTCACTTAATTTCTGTTTCCTTGCACAACCTTACATATCTACAAAGAAATTTGAACTGCAGTTTGTATGAAAATGTAAAGGGCATATTAGCACACTGTCCTGTAATTTAATGACAATATCATTCTCACATGAATGAAACATTATTATGCTTACATCTCGGGAGACAGGTCACTTAGCTTATTGCTCAGAATAGATATGGTACTTTTCAAAGTCTTCCCTACCTACTATTATCATTCTTACTGGCTTTTTAGAGTTTAATCTTTTGTATCCCTTACAATCCTTTTCCAGATTAAAATCACAGCAGCGAAAAAGTTAAATATAATGAATTACATATTTACTAAAGTACATGGGCTGTTTCTACAAACAAGACTAATATCGGGATAAACAGGAAAAATACACGGCTGTAAGACAAAGTGTTATGGAACGTCAGACTAGAGATGATTGTAAGCCTTGATACTGAATCCCTTTCAAGAGACCCACATACATAGTACTGCAAGAATTATAGGCATTTGTAGTAACTGGTAGTCCAAGTTAAACTTCTTTTGTTAAAAATTTCACACGTGGCAGGCCCTCATCCTAGATTAAAGAGAATTAACACATGAAAATTTTTCTATATCTACCATAATGGTAGCAGCCTCTTGGGAAGAACCTAACTTCAACCTCATGCTGACTCAATATAGTTTCTATTAGGCCAGGGAACAGGAGGCATAACAATTCTGTAAAACCTGAAATCAAAACCCTTTTGCTACAGACAAACGGTGGGTTTAACCATGGCAGCAGTAAAAACTCGTTCAGACTCGATGAACAGAGAAAATCTTTTCTCTCTTTTCCTTCCAGGACACATCTATTTGATAACGTGCCAGGTCTTAAAAATTAAATTCTGAAGAGGATTTTGGACAAGTATATGCCTTCCTGATATTTTAAATGCTAAACCAGAGTGTTAACTAGCTGAGTTCTAAGGCAATCCTAACATACATGACACCTTCAAGCTAATGCTACTGACAAATTTACAATAATGATAAAAGGACACTGTAACAAGATAGGAGCATCTTTGGGGTTTTGTTAGTTTGTTTGTGGTTCCAAAAGAGATTGTTAAATGTGAAAACCAATGTAAATGTTCATTCTCTTGCTATCACAGAGTAGTGAAACTTGCTAAAGTTAGTTAATAAAAAAAGGCAAAATTTACAACATTTACTATCAGGCTCATAAATCTCAAATATCCAATATGCATTCTTTCTTTAAATGTCCCTTGAACATGTCAAGAAGCCTTACCTTATTCTTCCAGAGGTCCCTGAATTCCAGTGAGATACTTAAAAATCAGGGTAAATTTTTCAACTCAGATTAGTATATTATTTCACATTTTGGATATGAATATGAGTGTGATGGTTTGCATTTCCATGACATCTTGTGTGGAAAGATTTCAGAGTATTTTGTAACCAATAATATAGCTAAAAATACTATTTTTTAATGTTCCAACAAGGTGGAAATTTGAGAAAAGAGAAAATATTTGCATAAGTGTCAACTAATTCAAACTGCTCAATCTGAGAGACACAGATTATCCTCCCCTAACATATTGAATAACTGCAAAATCATTACATTAAAATTAGCCCCCTTGTACATGTCTCATTAAGCACACTGGAAAAAAAAACATATCTGAATGACAGACAAAACTGGAATCCACCTTTCTTAAGGACTGAATCATATTACAGAGTAACTAGTTTAGAAGTATTCTGGATGGCTGCCTTGGCTAGAAGAGGTGTTCACTATCTTACTGTACAACTAGAGCTGTGAAACCATAAATATCAAAATCTGAGGTGACTGATTTTGATTGTTGCTCAAGATACAGTTACACATTTAGCACTACGTGTACTTAAGCAGCCCTGACCAGTACTTGCTGTACTTGCATCACCTTCACCACTGACCTCAAACAACGCTCTACACAGCCCTCTAATGAGCAGAGTTCAGAGAACTAATCTGGCTGAAAAATTCACAGAAAGAAAAATATTATGCTTCACAAGAATCTGCTGCACAATTTGACCATGAAAAGGGTGCTAATAGCATTCTGGACACACTTTTCAGATTCTACTACAATCAAATAATTCACCCTGGTTTTCAGTCAGCTGTAATGCTGCCATACTCTTTTCTTTACGCTGCAAGTTGAATAACTAAGGAGAGCTGAAGCAAAACACTCTGACTGTCTTCCGTAATATATGTATGGCAAGAGAGGAGTTCTGTATCAAGACCTACAACCTATGCCCTCTCTGCACTAGTGAGCAGAGAATATACAGAAATTTCACTACCTCCTCTATTTGACATCAAAGTGGAGGAATATGGGTTAGAGTTCCTAAGTCCTCATTCATTAAAAATCTGGAAAGAAAATAGCTTTGCTTGATTTTAGAAACAAATATATAATTTTTTATTTTTTAATATGTGAAATTAAATTCAACAGCACAGATCGCTGACCTCTGCATTCATTAGTTATGAATGCTGAACCAAATTGCAGACAGCAGGAAATAAATTCAGTACCAAACACTTATACAGAATGACAATAGAAATATTTTTAATATTTAATTGGATAAAAGCTTTAGATTATTAACATGCATATTCATCTTTCAAGCTGAGGAACTTCTAACTTGCTAAGTAACTGACATTACTGCACTATCGAAAAGAGAAGGACTTGCAAAAGTTTTGAGTTCTTCAGTGAGCCATAGAGGATAAAAGGCTTTCAGTGTTGGAATGAACTATACAATGACATGCTTGTAATTTCCAGAGCAAATGAAAAACTGGAAGTTAAATTCTAAACAGAGATAGGACTTTCAAAATCACAGCTCATAAAAGAACACAGCAGGCATGGACTTACCCAGTAATAAGAAAGAAGATGCTGAATGCTACCTCTGCTCACTCCACTAAGTAGCAACACCAGTCACATGACAGAAAAGTATATCACTCTGCATCCCCTATTAACATTGCAGCTCTATTCACTTCTTGGCTACTAAGGAAGCCAGAGAAGACCCTCTGTGCCAAATTACTTTCTCTGAGCATTGTGCACAGTTTACTATATTTGCTGATTATACCTGCAATGGATTCTCATTGGAAAACTTATATTGTAGATATACCAAAAAAATGCCATTTTGCATCCGGGGATACCAACTAATCCTGAAAAATAACCACCTTAACTTTTAATGAGTTGATTTCTTCTAAGTCCTTTTCCTAGTCAATATGAGTCATCATAATGATTGTGGTATTTTGGTATCCCATCAAGTTCACAATAATGAACACTGGGAGCTACTGTTTGCCTGTTCCCATACATCGTGCACAGAGCTATTTCCTTTATATTGAACTAAAAAGCAGTCAGGAGTTGCAGCAAAAAAACAACTGCTTTTTGAGTTGAGAGACAAAATGCTGACATAAGTACACCAGCTACTTTGTTTGCCTTGTTATCACTCACCACTGATCCTATGGAATTTTGAAAGTAACTAATGTTGATGGATTACTTTTAATATCAATACTCCTGTGCATTCTTCACTGAAAAAAGAAAAAAAGTCTTTAATATAGAAATATTTATATTGAAAAATACATTGGAAACAAAAAGCAACACAAAATATAATCAAAATGAAATATTAATGGTAAAATGATGATGATACGTTACAGTCTTATGCATTGATGCTATGTCATACTGTTTTACCCAACAATGCAAGCTTATGCTGCTTAGCAAATCTCAATGGTTTTTGTGACTAATACACAAATCATGGTTAACTTTAATTATAATTCCAAGCCTCAAATCTTTTTCATACTGAAATGAAATTGGAAATACAAAACTATGAAAAGTCCCCTTTCTCTAGTGACATTTTTCATTATCTATGATCCCTGATAATTGCCATCTTTGTTTTATATACTTCAAGCAGTGGATCAATTTGTTATTTGTTCATTTCCAAAGTAACAATCCGACTATCTCCAGATCTTTTTTCTCACATTAAAATCATTTAGAGTAGTCCAAATTTCAACGTGTGTTCACAATTCAAAAATCACCTGGTACTGATTATAAGAACACATTAAAATAGAAAGATTTTAATCTTAGTTTTGAAAGAAGCAAAAATCTTATTTCCTAGATTTATAGTCCCATCTTTTACAAGACAAAATCCCTCTGAGGAAGTGAATCTATCTTCCAGGACATCCAGAGATGCCCGGTGCTCCAGATCACAACCTTAATAACAGCTCTTTAAATACTGCTCTCTTCTAAGTGGCTCAATATATCATCCTCATAGAGTACTCCTGACTCTGTTCCTGAACAAGATCCACTCTTACTCCTCAGCTTGATCTTTCCAAATATTTCTAGGATGTTGTGTATAGCAGTATGATTAGCATATGCCTACTACCAGACTGTGCAGAGCAACTGAAAATGTTAAACTTTGCAGATGACTGCTACAACGCAGTCACTTTTATGAAGACAAGGCTTATTCACCTGCTCAAGTTGTGCTTTTGAGATGCGAATGACAGAGGGGACCTTGTTGCCACAAGGAATGACAGGAAGCTGCCTACGACCGGTTGAGCGGGAGGAAGAGGAGTGGCTCTCAGCTGATTGACTCCTCGGTAAACCAGCCTCTTTCAGAGGGTCCGAGTGGAAGGACAGATAGGCTATAGGGCTCATGGTGCGGAGGATGGGACTTGAAATTCTTGGAGTGGAGAAATGCAGCATATGACATGAGTTGAGCTGTGAGAACAACATGGCGGGGAAGAAAATAAGGTTGAAAATGTTTTAATAAGTCTTGTTTATGCTTGCCTAAATGCAATCTCTTAGACAACTGTACTCACACCTCCCTCAGAGGCGGAAAGCGGATAATTTAAGAGGTGTCTTAAATCTAATCTTCACATTTTCCATCAACTATTTTCAAAAATCCAGTATCAAAATCAAGAGTGAGCATCCTTTCTCTAGCTGGCTTCTTCATTCAGTCAGTCTTAGAATCATGGAATCCTTAGGTTGGCAAATAAAATCATGTATTCATTGAGTCCAACTGTTGCAACCATTATAACGAGTCAGGAACAACCTAGGGCAAATTTAATAAACTAACACAGTCAGTTTCAAGGACATTGTGTCATCAGTTGATAGTTGACTGCTCCTTGCCGATGCTTAACACATCCACACAACAAGACATCTGTGTCTCTGTATTTTTAGCATATACATCTATTGCAGGCTTTACTACAGCCACAGCAGTGTACATTAAGAACTGTACCTGACAGGATTAATCAGAAAAGTCAATACTAAATGATTTTGATGAAATTTCCCACATATAGGACCAAACTAGAAGGGTGCACTGGCCTGAACGATCCATGAACAATTGCTTCATCTTGAACTACATTATTCAAGCAATTAGATACAAAGAAAGAAAGAAGAATAGGAACTGTAAAGTCCACGTGGTCCAAACAAATAATTTTAGACAAACTACATTTCCAAATTGTTTACTGATGACAACTCTGAAATCAACTGGGTTTTTTTGCAAGACCTTTTCCAGCACAGAATAAACATCTAATAGTGACACATCTAAATACCTGTAAATGAGATTGGTATAAACAGTTTGCAATTCTTTGTTCCCATTACATTTAGAGAAAACCTTGAAGAATAGAGATATGGAAACTTTCTGCAAGCTTCATGAAGGTGACTTTTTGTTTCCTATCACAGTATTTGCAATTCTAACCTGTATTCTTTGGAAACAAAGAATACTTATCAAACATTTCTGTTCCTGAGGAAAAGGTATTTTAAATTGTGTCAACCCTAAAGCTTCAGTTCCCATAATGCACAGCCGACTTGCAACTGGGAAAAAAAAAAGTATTTTCAGTGCCTCATAAAAGCAGCAATTGAGGATAGAAGGTATATGAAAATTAAACTACTTAGAACTCCGAAATAAATATAAATTTAAGAACAAGCTTTTGATAAAATACAATAGTACCTCAATGTCCAAGATTTCCATTTCAGTAATATTTCTAAATAATAAAAATAAATAGATTCACACAGTAAACCCTCTTCTATAACACAGACACATGCATATATATATGATTTCAGGTTGTCAACTAAGTGACCAGAGTAAACTGTTGTTTAATATAAACTGAAGATGAAAATGGAAATAGCTATTAGATGTTTAATTACTTTAAATCCATTATTATTTATGGACTGAAATATCTACTTAACAAATACATGCTGCAAAGTTTTGTGCATGCACTGTATGGAGTTCTTTGTCATTCAATACAAACACAGTAAATTAATGAAGCCAAGTTCAACAACACAAAGTCCAATCTATGCTCTTAGTACCAGACCAAGGAAAAGAAACCTACAGCTGTATGATGCAAAGTGCTACTCCAGTATAAAAATTCACCATTAGTCTAGATCAGTTCACATTCTTTGGACAAATTAACTTCATACCAGCAGATATTACAGCAAACCACATACTGTCTCTCCTGCAGCCAAAGTCAACACAATGCCATTATTAAAGCAGAAAGCCAGCACATATAACCTTTACTACGCTTTGAGTTACAGCTATGTGTCTGTCTGCCCATGACTAAGGCAGATCAAACTGGTATTTGCTGATAGCACACAGAACCTGTGTTGGAACTGGAAAACCATGACTGATAACATAAAAATTACTTCTCTCACCTGCAGGGTTTTTTTCCATAATAGCATAATTTGCTGTAATTTTTTATGCCTGAAACTTTCTCATCCCTGAGCCAATAACTTAAACATTTTTCTCTCTTATTTTTTGAGTTTGGATTTCCTTTTTTAACTGCTACAACTTTACATTATTAATAGAATGCTGATGCTGTGTAAAACAGGTAAGAAGCGATATTATCAACAATTACAGGAAGTCCACGTACATACAAAATTTCAGGAAGAACATTTAGCTACAAACGGAAGGACTGCAGACCAGCAATTTCATTCCTTCAGGAGTAAATAAAATTATGTGTGAGTATATGAAATGTTAGTTTCTCATACAGAAACATCCATGCTACTACTTACTACTTAAACAGTGAGCAATAAAGCCCTGAAAGAAACAAAGAAGAATCATCAAAGTAAAAAGGAAAAATTTTTAAAAAATTACAATAGGAAAGATATTTTATTCATTCACCACTGAAGTAAATGCTTGCATATTTAACAAATCTATCAGAATAAGCTCAAAAGCCATAATTCCTCATACTTTCTCCTAAATGATAGCGAAGAAGGTCACTAGAAATCATTATAGGAGATAATTTCAACATCTATTTTTAACCCTTTTTAGTAACACTTAAGTAATTTGATTTATGGTTCTAAACTTAACATTCTTGGATCCAAGCCTGTTCTTAGTAACTCATGCAATATAATTAAATCAACAGGAAAATAAAATATGACCTTGCCTATTATTTTTATTGTTGGGAAAGGGGTACCTAGAAAAAATTGCTAAATAACATCTGATGCACAAACAAGGATCACATTTAAAGAACAGTGTCAAGAGAATAAATACTCCGAGGAAGAAGGAAAAGGACTACCAAACAGCTCCTTAAGGTCACTAGGACTCTTGAATAGAGAGAACTACTGTATGAAGAGTAGTTCTCCCAGGGAAGTGATCAGGACAGTCACCTGTAAGAACAGCTGGGTTGCAGTATCCATCTCAAGGAATATTTATGCATTCTTAATGAAGGGGAATACATCACAGTTGGAATAGATGCACTGCATAGACACACTCTGTTCCCAGTTTCTAAATCAGCCAAATAATCCCAATTTTCTTTATTCCCAGTTCAGTTTACTTTTCAACTGCACATGATTCACCTTTGAAAAAGTAAGTTCCTTCCTGTCATTCATCTTGCCTTCACAACACTACTTGCCCTTCCAGGATAATATAAACCATATTCAATTTCCCCCATTTTTAGGTCATGACAGACATCCTTTACCTGCTTGTAAAGCCAAACTAAAATATAATCTCATCCCAAGTTCTACTTCAACCAGTATTGCAGTACATCTTACACTTAATTAACTTGGTTTACAACTGTTTCTGCTCCCACGTTCTGAAGCTTCTTCCTTTGCAGATATTGTCCATCCTCTGCAGTGTAGTATGTAATGTTTTCACCACATCTACTTCCAGTTTTAAGTAGAACAGTTATTTCCCCAAAAAGAGCCACATTTGTATGAAGTGGAATAGTGCATTTGCACATAAAATTGCAAGCTGTTTTTTTTAATGGTTTTCAAAATAAAAACACTTCATAATTAGTATTTTGTACAGGACCAAGTATTGCTCTTTTTTGTCTGTTTTTCTAAAACTGACATTAAAATAGAAGAACTGAGCAGCTGAAAACTGAAAAATTCAAATTAATTTTTCACTTTTAGAAGTTTCTAACCCATCAAAAACTCTTTCAGACAACTAAGATTTCAATTTAAGTCTTAGAAATCTTCTGTTGTTTAACACAGTTCTGTATTTTCAGTCACACCAAATGAATCTCCTATAAACTACATACGTAAAAATATGATATCTAAATATAATCTTGTAGGAAAGATATGATCTTCCGTTTTCCATAAGAACCTAGGTGTAGTTAAAATTTTGCTGTGCAGCTGTAATTAATACATTGAGTAGCTCGTTTTCCTTGTAAAGGGTATTTCCACATCTTATAATAAATGAGTAGTTAGTGACAAGTTTCTTTTTCTAGTGAGCTGGCTGTAACTTTCACAAAAAGTGGTGATAAGTGAACAAAAAATCATAGCGAGGTTTCTTGGCTCAAAGGAGCGTGAAAGAATTCACCTTTAGATCATAGATGGCACAGTATCTACTCAGAAAAGGGGAGAAATTAAACCAAGAGTTGATTTCCAATCACTTAACCATTAATCTCCCTTCCTCCTTAAGTAAAGACCAATCCTTGTTTAAAAACAATTACAAAGGAGAAAAAAGTAAATGTTCATGAACTGTGCAAATGAGAATTCTTTAGAAAATATGGAGAAATAGAAAAAGAATAGTATGCAATGGAATCGAAGCAATCTCTCTTAGTGAAAACTCGGGAGTAAAGTTGCAAAAGTATCTTAGAAGTGAAAAGTAGCAACACTTTATAAAAGGCAACAAGTTGTTTCAGAAGAAACAAGAAAAAACAAAGGGAATTCCAAAAGCAAACACTACAGGAATGATGGTGAGAGCAAGTAACTGTTTCTTTCTTTTCAACCACTTCAGCTTTTTCTGAAATATATGAAACACTGTATGACAATATTTTACATATTCATTGTAATTTTATGTTTATATATTGCAAATATAATAAATACATGTTTGCATGTGTCTCTCACTGATTAGGAATAGGAATAGGACAGTAATCTCTCACTGCATAAGGAGCTTCTTTAGATAGGTAGATGGATAAATAGACAGATGAACAGACAGACAGATAGATAGACAGATAACTGCAGAATTAATAGCCACTTCCATGGGTGAATGTAAACACTGGTATTACAGAGCATGGAAGACCATTCCTCAAGAATCAAGTGCCATATCTGCTGAAACTAGGAATTTCTGTTACACTATTGTATTTTAGTCACTGCCTTTACTATTTCCTCATATAATTCTGAATAAAGACAGGTTCAACAAAACACTGCTCGTTTCTCTTACCGGAGTGAGTGCTCCTTCTGCTTGAGCTTCCATAGGACTTGTAGGGGTGGCCGCAAGAAGCTGTCCAGCAGCTCCAGACAGAAGTTCCAACTTATCTGTAAGCTGTTCAGAAGCAGCAGGATGACACTCCATGTCTAGAACAAACTCCACCCCTGAAGTTTGGTTCTTGCCATTGACATTGTTTCCTGCCCACCCACCCTGTCTGGATTGCTCTTCTCGAGGGGACTCCTCTAGAACTTGTAGTACCTCTGGTTCTTCATCTGAGGGACTTCCAGTCATTTTGTGCCCTAAAGCCTCATTTGTCCTGAAGTCTTGTAAGTCTCGTTCCTTATCTATTATCACCCATTCCTTAGAATCAACCTCCTGCCTGCAGGAGCTTAAGTTAACAGCTACAAATCCATTGCTCATGACACCATCAGCATGGTCTGGAGAAATAGCTGACCCAGGCTTTGAAGCATCTGGAAGATATTCTTCATCATAATGCCAAACGTGGTCCATGCGAGCAGTCACAGGAGCAGGAAGGGGTGTTTTCTGAGAAACAGGAGGAACAGCAGCAGGAGTCTCTGTTGCAGCATTCAAGTCTTTCTGCCTCTTCTCCAAACTTGAGAAAAGAAGTTAATATCTGAATTAGTTAAGAATTAATTAAATATTGTAAGTTACATTTGAGGTTTTTTGGTAGGAGAAAACTAGATTTATACAAAAATTTGTTGTCATATTTTAGAACAATCTACTATGGTTCCACAATTTGAGGTAAGCAAGTCTGATGTCAAGTAAAAATGGATGCATGGTCTTAGAAATGTACTTTAATTGTAATGTATCATGTTGTATTGTAAATATAAATACCAGAAGGGAGAACAGTGTGTGGATAAAAACTCAGTGGTGAGGTTACCACCAGATGGTCCATTGTACTTAAATTACGTTACAAAGCAGACTCAAAGCAGAAGAAACAGATGTCTCCAGCAGCAGTTATTAGGTGCTTTCAAGAAAAATGTTATTGTTTTGACTGATTCCTTACTTATGCTTTGGATAATTTGCTTCATTAAACAAATTCAGATTCCTAACTCTGCTATGAAGTATTTAGAAGGAAGCACTGTCATCACTTCAGCTCCCTTCTACTGTCCCCACTCGACATCTACCAGGTTTCATTGTGTCCTTCTCCCCTTATTCTTTCTACACAGAGGCAAACTGATTGAATCTGTTTTCGTACATCTGTCTCTTCTCTACCTTCAAATTTCATTTCAATACCTCTGTCTTCTATCAAGTTGTTTTATGTTGGTGCAACACCTTTGGGCGTAACTAACCTTGCTACATGCAGGCAAATTTCTAACTTTACTTACTAACTCCACTTTCTGTAAACTTTCCTTCTCATGTCATATAGCTTATTATCATGTTACCTCTGTTAAGTACCTGATGTCATCATTCTTACTTAGGATGAGATGTAATGACTATCAAGAGTATGTCACTGAAGAAAAAGTTAATAAACACCAGAGTTAGACCACTTGGTCTTGAAATAAAAAATTCCCAAGTGTGGAAGTCTGAGTTTAGCTGTATCCTACCACTGATCTTTTTTTAAAGAGGTTGCCAAGTAGTGAAATCCATTAATTGAGCAATATTATGAAAATATTTTGCTGTAGCTGGCATAAGCATACTCAGCACCTCCATTTCTCGTCTTCACGTGGCAAAGGACAGATAATCGTGTCCTTACTATATATGTTTGAAAGACGTAAGCATAACAATAAAATAATTTCTTTACCAAGTCTCAAGAAACTTATCAGTGTCTGGCTTTGATTCCAATGTCATGCGCTTCTCCAGTTCAAAGCTGTGAATTGAACGCAACTTTCGCACCAGTGGAACATCCCTGTCTAACTGGGTGGTCTCCGAGCGAACACGAATTGGAGAACCGAGACTCGGCGCATTAAGAATTCCATTCACTGGCCCATGGCTGTTTTCTTCCTCTGTGGCAGCCTGTGCAGACAGTAAAGTAAAAATGTAAATCACTAGCAGAAGCAAAACACAGGAAGACAAGGTACTGCATTCAAGTTTTTAGCATGTGAAAAGCCAAGTTGTATTTGGAATGGTCCTTCAGTTCACAACATACTTAACATAGTTTAGATATGCTCTTCAGCACACACCTACAGCAGATAAAATACTAGTAATATACTAGTTCTGTGTAGGTCTGAAAATGGCAGTCTCAAAAACCAAGTAATTGCACCTAAATTGATTCTGATATTTCACATCCATCTCTGAAATTTTCTTTAACGATAGTCTGCAACTAGAACTTGGTAGCATCTTTGGTCTGCTTTACAGTCAAGTGCTCTTATTAAAGAGAAGTTAGCTTCCAAGCTATCTTTTTGATCCTCTGGAGCACAAAACACTGTTATAAACTAAATCTACTAGGTATTTCTGTGACTTCAAAATAGGTTTTAGTCCAACCTCATTCCACCTTGTATAATAACAGAGCATGATTTAGAGCTAGGAAATCATGATCATCCTTAGTTCCTACAATATAATTAATAGAAATTGCCTTTGTTTAAACCTTTCTCTCCCTTTAGTAAAAAAAAAAAACCAAAAAAAATTCCAAAGAAATAAGTATATTTGAAAACAAGCACCATGCCTTGTTCTTTCCCACAGTGCATTTTTTTCTAGCAAACAAGAAGTGACAGCTTCAAAACTAGACAGCTCTCCTAGGTAAAGAACATTTCAGTACCAATACTTCACGTTGAAAACATTTTTCTAATCAACAAGGCTATTATTTGTTTGAGTATGAAATACTATGATTGTGAGTAATGCAGACAGGAACCAATCCTCAGTGACCGCTTCTGAAAATAACATGGCATTCTTTTCCAAAGATTAGCCCATGAATCTCTTGATCAGTACAAAGGTATCATATCTTATGGAGAAAAAATTACCAAGTGAAGTAAATGGATACTGGCAACCACAGTACTAATCTGCCAGTTGAAGAACATTAAACTCTTTTTAGTACATTCATTATCTAGGTTCTGCAAAAGCAAGATGCAGGAAATTTGCTTTGATTTCATTCAGTGAGCAAGAATCAAGACTGTGTCTGAAGAACATAAACATGAGTAAACTACAAAGCATTTCAAATTATCAGCAAGCTCTCTCAACCAGAGAGACCTGATAAAGTGACATAAGGCCCAAAAGTCTGTCTGTTTGTTTCAGTATATAAAATGTGTTAGCTCTACTGTAAATCTGGCTAATCAGTATCATTTCTGCATTAATAATAATATCTTATGTTCACTATGAGAATAGGAAACTGTTTGAAGCTGGTATTCACATTGCAGATTTTAAAGTACCTTACAGATCCCTAGTTTTATTTTGTTTCTGTTTGCATCCATTTCTTCCCAAACATCTTTTTCCTGAGGACGCTGACGGCCAGGGGATCCAGGTAGTTTCTCTGGTGAAACACCAACTGGAATACCATTCTCTCCATCACTGAGTTGTTCATCAGGAAACACTTCATCTGTATTTTCCCGCAGCAAATCTCCTGGGATAGGAGTGGCATTGGCAATTCTACAAAAGTAGTTAAAAAAAAAAAATCAGAAAGGTAAGAATTTTGATACCCTCACATATTTACACAAATTATTTTCTATTTAAAAAACAAACAAAGAAAAATTACAAAGAAAATCATGTTAACATAGAAAACTAAATCTTGTAAATTATTTAATATAAAACCCCTTACACTCTGGCTTTCACAATTTATGTTTCTTCATTTTAGGCATATAACAAAAGATGTGAGTCAAAAAACCAAAAGGTGTTTTCTATAATGTTTTCAAAGCCACTTGAGAGAAAATTTGTTAAGAGACCATGTCTGGGCTCAGCTTCACTCCTGACTCTTCTATACATATTCTTCTATTCAAAAAAATTAATGGCAACTTTCATCACACAGTTTTCTTTACCCAAAAATTTGATAGAGGAACAAAACACACTGTGTGAGGAAGAACAATTACTGAGCAAACTAAACGTAGTTTTAATCACTATTTTTATCAAAGTGCTATTTTGCTCCAATTATTGATAATCAAAACATAAGCATAACACTAACAAGACATTACACTTTAATCATAAAGTTCTGTAATCCCATTGATTTGAAGCTGAATAGGGCTAAGGCTTAGCTCAACATCTGAAACAGAAGAAATGTTAGTCCTAAAAAGTAAATGCTCAGAAGGTCAATGAAAAGTCATTCTTTTACAGTCACCAAAACTGTTAATTGCAGCCAAGACCATCAATAACTAGCGTGATGCTCAGTGTGATAGTGGGACTAATCCACATGCAAAATCCCTGTCAGCCTCAGTGTGTTCAATAGTGCGCAGCGTACACCTGTGTAATGCTAACAGTTAGATAATATAACCAGCTGGTGTCTTGATGGATATTTACTTTAAGTTTGGTTGTTTTTTTTTTAATTACCTTGAAATACTGAGAATTTAATACATGAAATTCTGGTATTTTTCAGCCTCACTAAACTGTCAAAACTCCCACCTTTGTGATTTTTAGCTAAAAGTTGATCTATTCAAGGTCTAGAACAGGCACAGTCTTCCTGCCCACCTATAAACACCTCTTATATTCTTAAATCCCCTGAATACAAATATTATTAAACATCACATCTTATCCAACTTACTTTATTACAGAAGGCCTCAAATACCACATTAAATATTATTTTAAACACAATCAAAATCTATTTCCAAATTTCTTACAAAGACCCATTCATTTTTCAAAGTTATAAGGAAATGGCAGCTAGAAGTTTATTCCAGAAAACAATGGGTTTATTTCCAGGCAGTTAAATTTCCAGGCATTTAAAGGCAGGGCACATTATTTAGTTTCACAAAATATGATTTAGCAAAGGATGAATGAGCAAATTTATACGCAATTTCCTGGAGTATGATTTTCTTATTGCTATAATTTTAGGACTGCAGGGCTGATCTTTAAGTATAGTATCAACTGGAACCCTAAAAAGGGAAATACTTCAAATGCTCCCAAGCCTCCACTCCTGTATGTATTCAACATTCTGCAGAAAAAAACCCTTAAATTATAATTTCCTTTTGGTAGGAAGGCCCTCTGTGGCTATTGAAGTGCCCACAATGTGCATACATACCCAATTGCAGCTGGTGTAAGACGAGTGTGTAACTGAGGTGTGGTCGAGGTTGTTGTTGTCGTCAGAGACCCATCAGTTCCACTCTTCTCCCAGTCAAATGGGTCACTTTCAACAACCCCAAATGTCTTCATGCTATTCTCAAACACAGACATGAGAAGCTGAAAATGAAGAAAAAAGTTAATAAGCTTCATTTGTGTCTAAGAGAACAAGTAATAAAGAAATATATCCTCCTGTAATACTGACAAGAATTTTCTTTAAGTTAAGTATTTCTCATTTTTCAAGATTCCAAACTCAAAATACACAAAATCTTATTTTATTTAAAAAAAAAAAAAAAACAACCAAACTACATTTACCCACATCTGTCTTTATATCAGGCATAAGGCAATGACACACACACAGAAGCATGACTACATTGCTGCAGAATATTATACAATGGCCCTCCAGCAGAGGAAGAGAAAAGAATATATTTGGTAACATCAAGAAACCAAGGAAATGAATGAGATGTAGGGAAGCATTTGCCAATTCATACATTTCTGTCATTAAGAACCACATATCGTTTACTTCATCTAATGCTGACATTCATCCCACATGAATGTCTAAGTTTTCCATCCTCATTTTATGCTACAAAGAAGCATTTAAAAAATTTGTGACCATGACAGAAAAAGAAACTGCATCTACTTTCCTCTCTTCATGAAAAGAACTGTCTCATTCTAGTCACTGATGGGAAGGCTGTGTGTATATCATTCTCTTACTCTAACATTTCTAAATTTTTTTTTTCCTAAAAGCTAATACTCTCATTTTCATCCTTTTTATTCCAATCGAGGATGCTGAAAATTTTTCTACAGTATCCTTGGGCATACCCTTCAGCAACTTAAAATAGAGAGGAAGTTTGAATCATTTTTCTTCTACAGAGTGGTCTTGACCATTTAATCCTTACTCTCAAGAACCTTCTGTGTGCCACCCACCCCAGTCAGATCTGTAACCCTTTGAATTGCAGAAATCCTTAGTTCAATTCACACTGTGCCTTAGGTACTCTGATTTATTCTCCTCTTCTTGTAAAACTTCAGCAGTATCTCTGAAGTAATTTTTCAGGTCCCTCTCCTTTAAATATTTTTATCAAGTTCTGCCATAATGCAAATACAAATTCAAATGCTTAACATCAGGAGGCTGAAGCAATGTGTGTGCAAACACCTGAATAAAATAAATATCTGACACTGCCAAACCACATATGGATTCTGGGTCTATGTCATGAACATTTTAGACAGTAAACTCTCCAAAGAAGTGATGTCAACCAGGGACACACATACATTCTTGTTCAGTGCCTACCCATAAATACAAACAAAGAATGATACATGCAGAAGGTAGGAACGGCATCTCTGCAAACACAAGAGATACCACAGTTTAAAAGACCATTCTCAGTGCTCTGTATAAAACCCTTCTCTGGTCTAAAGCACACGAGCAAGACTGTGTCGTAAGGCTCAGGCTGCAGCTATGCAACTGCAAAAGTTCCATGACCAATCACAGCACTGTAATTACTGGGCTGTCTTTATCATGGAAAAACTCTGTCCTGGTATCGTGTTAATCCCTGAGTGCATGTACTGTGTTAGATATAAATAGAACACACAAAAAGGTTTTGCAAAATTATGCCTGTGTATATGCTTTATCATTCAGGATACATAATGTAAATAAAATATACTGACCAGTCTACAATCAAGGTCTGTCCACACAACATGAAAATTTCTGCAATCAGTAATTTTTACCATAGGAAAAAAAAAAAAATCTGATGCATCTTTATTACTAGGCACACAAAACATCGAAATGTTTTCCCTCGATTGTAAACTATAGGACAATTTCCAGGGAAATTTGCAATAGAAAAGAATAAAAAGGAAAAGGTACTTATTTTTCAGGATTGCTGAACATTTTCTGTATTTGTAATAAGGAGAGGGTTTTTACATTCAAATTATTGCATAAAAATCGATTTGTTTTGAAAATGCACAGAAAAACATACCTGAACATTTAGAGAAGTCCACTTACTAACAGGAAATTAGTTATTCCTTGAAATTTTCAATTATTTCAATTCTTATATATCTTGATTTCTTCCTTAATCTTACCATGCAAAGCATAGGAATCATTCTTCTCAAAGTTACAATTCCAGACTTAGTCAGAATTATTTATTTATTCAGTTGAACCAATTGAACTTGAACACCAACAGAAAACCATTCCTTCTGGGTTTGCTGACTTAGTGAGTGGAACAAATGCAGAGGCAGACAGGTAGTACAAGCAGGAAGCAAACAGCAATGTGTGTTTCTGGGAGCCAGAGAGAAGGAACACAGGGACAACTTGTCGTGGTGTGCTATTAGATCAGTTCAACTTCTCCCACAGTTTGTGAGACTGCAAAACCTCTCAAGTCTCTCCCTCCCTGCTTTTCCCAAGCAATTCCTCTGCTGCTTTCCACAAACTGGCGTAGAAGAAAGTTCTATATTTTTGTTTAATCATGGGTCAACACTGAGTAAGACACACATTCCACAGCACATCCTGTTGGCACATATCACCTTATCACCAAGCAGTGGCTGCTCATTTCAGCAGGCAAGAGTCTCAGACAAAGAAAAATGACTAGTTTTCTGGTTTTCTCTGTAGGCAGCACTTCAGTCTTAAAAACCCACCATGAGTGCATGTTGTGCTCTAAGTGTAGGTGCTGAGTTCCAGACTTTGGAAAACTGCCAGAATGACTATCACTGAGAGAACAATCTGCTCAATTTAACTTACAGAGCACTCACTAGAGGCTATGATAATAGGACAGCTCCCCATTCTAACGGAATACTGACTGAAAAGCATCTTGTCAATTGTTTTAGAAGTTTCGTAGCCATACACTTCCCAAATGGAAAAAACAAGACATATCTGAACCACAAAGTTTCTGTGGCACTAGATGGTCAATAAAGTAACTTTGTGGTGGCACAAAACATAACAACTACCAAGATTACACAATGAAATCAAAGAAAATTGAAGATGAAACCACATAAAATTCTCATATTTACAAAACAGAAAGACAAAATAGTACAAGTGTTTACCTGGTAATCAGGCTTTGTAAAGTAATCTAAATTAGAAATGTGATCCAGAAAGACGTTAAATTCTTGAGGAAGATGTTTCAACATAAGTCTGTGTTCGTACCTTTCTTTAATGGAGCCCACTTGCTCCTAGGAGTAAGTAACACAACAAACATTACCACGTCTTCATTCTCTGCTACAACATATTTACATTGTATGTTACAGCCATTCAATACACTACAGGCCAGAACAGAAGGTCAGTACATTACAACAAATGCTACTGAGAAAGTCCGCTCTACATCAGATGGAAAGATAAGACATTCTGTCATTGTTTCCAATACACTTGCAAAATAATGTACAAACTTCAATTCAATATGAAAAGTCATTGAATTTTCTGCTGTGTTTGTGTTGTGTTTGAATGCTGACTGATATCAAGGATTGCCATTAAACAGTCCAACTTTTCCAGAAGGTATCTTTCAAAGATTTAAATATCCTATTGCATTACATGAAGTTCAGTCACTTTTTGGTGTTTATTCGGTCATGTAACATGAGTAAATAAAAAAAAAAAAAAAAGGAGCTGCCACCTCTATATCACACTGTCATCTACACAAACCACATCAGAGAGTAACCAGGTTTCAGTATAATTTCAGAAGAAGTTGCAGGAAGTAATAGCAGGCTAATTAGATATTGTTTCTTTGCATACCTCTCCTAGGATTTATGACTTAAGACACTACTGCATATTGCCTGATTCACTTTCCAGCAAATAAGAAATGCCCATTTCACAAGTAATCAAAAGAGACAGGTGTGATATGTGAAATAAAGTACTCAAGTGAAAACAGGAATAATGAAATAAGGGGCAAATACACATTTACTTTTGCCATCTAAAATATTTTCAATCTAGAGGCAAACCTACTTCCTAGAACAGTTCATAAAATTTGATTGCTTTTTATACCATGACAGTAGAGACAAGAACTAGCACTAGAAAACACCAGAAAACCTAATGTTAAAATTAATGAACCAGTGATTCTTAGTGCAATCTTTATCATAGCATTTCCCTGCAACCCAGAAATATATTTCCCTCATGCTCTTTGGTTTCACCTCCAGGTTTACCTTATCTTTTATTTTTCTCCAAGGCAGTTGCCCAACCACAAATTCCACCAACATGTAGAATAGAGACCAAAGATCATCATGCCGACCCATTTCCTGTGAAAAAGAAATATTTTTCTCATGCATATTACAAATACCTAAGACAGGAGGGAAGACAAATTCTTTACTGCTCAAGAGTTGAATTATTACATATAAAATTTAATATTATCTACACTGCAAAACCAGTTTCATTAAATCCAGTAACTATTTTAAGGAGAAATGTACATTTCCATAGAGAAACAACAAAAGTTGAAATGTGTTAAAATGACGTTGCAAATGTCTATACTGGGAGAGCTGTTTATTCAGATTTCTTTAGTGTATGATGTTAAGACAATGTACTGGACATTATGTACTTCATAAAACACAGTAACTTCACCTTTTTAGTTTATTAACTTACAATACAACTGAACACCAAAGGTACTATTAAAAGTATTATTATTTCCACACCAAGAACCTTTCTATCTTCTACTACTGTAAAGTATATTATCCTTTCACAAAATGTGTAATTTCTATTAATTTCTACATAATAAATGCACAAATAAGAATACAAAAAAAAAAGGAAATTAATAGTAACTGCATTACTGACTGATTTCAGCTATGTGAGATGGGTATGATACAGATTGAGATACTCACTCTGTTTCTATGAGCATTGATTGATGCATATCGTACTGTTCCTCGAAAACCAGCGACAGCTCGTGGCTGTCAAAGAATAAAAAAGAAAAGATTCTCATTGTCAGAAATAAACCCTCTGACAACTTAACTTGGCATCTACAAAGCGACTATGGAGCCACAACATATCTCATTTGAGACTTTTATTTCAGTTTAACATATTTCTACAAGTTCTCAGTGGAAATCCAACAAGGAATCACAAAGTCACATTTGTCAGAGTTTTTTAAAGTATGTGATAGATTTTAAACTATGATCTATTGACGTCAGTATTTGTCCTCCACAGGCATCATGTCCTGTTTACCTCATTCCTCAACACAGTTATATGGCAGAAATATTCCCTTTTTTTTTCTCCAATGCTGAAACTATTTCTTAGTTCCAATGATTAGAAGTTTGAAGGTTTAAACTTGGACAGGATCTAAACCATAACTTCTTCCTCTTTGCTAAAATACACCAATATTACGTGGTATGAACATACAAGCAGCAATTTATTGAAGTGTGTTAGCAATATTTTCACAAATTATTTTCTGAGTTAGCAAACCAATCCATTTTTTGAGAAATTCCAAAAGCAGGGTAAGCCACAGGTAAGTCTCAACACTATAGCTGAGCAATAAATAGAAAAGGCTGCACTGCAGATACCCATTTAAAATATTTCTTTCTTTTCTAGTTTATGAAAACCAGCATTTCCTCCCTGACAGTCTAGATATTATACAATCATAAGTGAATTGGTGTTTTATAATCCCAGAATACATTTTCCCATCCTTCTTTTCTTCAAATAAAACATTACAGAGAGAATCATATAATTGAAAAGTCATCATATTTACAATTTAAAAAAAAAAAACAAAACCATGGTATTATTACTTTGCCTAAGGCAGATATCCAATCCATGCTACCTTCTTAATTAATCATTCTATATAGACAGAACTGCTAAACTTGCTTTCTTTGACGCAGTCTTATCTTCCCAATCAATACTTGTTTTTGTTTCTTCTAACAATGAACATAGGAAGCTTCAATTATCTACCTCACCTCTGACTTGTATATAAAGAGGTATTGGTGATCTGTCTGCTTTTCCACGACTCACGATAATTCTTCAGATTTTAAAAAACTGGTTTTATATACACACAAACATAACCACAATACACAAATAACTAAGATAAAGCACCTCCATCTCTCCCTACCTATATATATATGTAAGTATAATTCTTTCTTATCCACCAACAGAAACTATACAGAACTAACATTTAAATAAATCAGGAACTGTTATTGCTGTCAATAACTCTGCCAATTGGATCCAGCGGGATTATGCAGCAACGTCTTTAATAAAGGATTCAACAGTCCATATAATCAACGTCTGATAGAGTAGTATGAATCAGTGTTAATTAAGAGAATACCTTCTAGGATATTCTTTACATGAAGAGGTTCTCAGATGATATTTCATAAATCTTAGGGTTTGCATGTTATCATAAAGTTTCAAAGGTGCTTGAAACACACGTCATGTTCAGGCAGGACAGACTCAGTTTTCCGTCTGCCTTTTTATTGTCTTTAATCTTATATCATATCACATACTGAACATTATCCTGCAGCTGGAGAAAAAAATTCTTCAAAAAAAGCACTTAAGTCTCCTTCTCAGTAGTTGTGCAGGTTGGCAAACCATGCAAGAAAGAATAATATAGCATCACTGCCAAGACAATCAAAATACACATAAATTTACAAAAAGATTCAGTTTAATGAATAGCACTTCTTCAGAAGAGCACTGAGAGCTTAACTTTAAAACAGTTGAAAATACAAATTCCATACATGTCAAGAGCACATAGTTTCAGAAGACAAAATCAAATGCTTACTATCTTCAGACTCTGGTATGAATGTTAAAAAGGAATGACTATATTCAGTTTTACTAAGTTAAATATTTCCATTCTTGTGAAAATAATGAAAAATACGAAAACTAGGATGAAATGAGGTTTTTATTTCTAGTATAATAACTTTAATTCCTACTTGATAGCTAGGACAAAAACGCTTAAGTTGCTGGACAAAGCAACAAAAAAAGACTAAGAAATGTCATATGAAAACTAAATTACCCCATTCAGTTTACAAAACCTAACAATTTGACTTATTCCAGTTCTGTCCTGGGGGAGAAAATGAGGCATTTCATTGTGTACCTATTCAAATGCCTTTGAACGTTAAAGTCACTGCCATCCCTACTAGTCCTAAAATGATTTCAATTATCTGAGAATCACCTGGAAGGGAAGGGGGGGGGGGGAGGGGGAAGAAAGAAAGAAAAAAAAAAAAAAAGGCATGAATAGTGTTTCTATTTATGAGCTTACCATGAAATGAATTCTGAATTACTTACTCCAAGATATCTCTTGCCTTAAAGTATAATTCCTATGAATCTGACTTAAAAGCATATGTAACTCCGTTATATTTTAAGACACAATGAAATACCTTTTAGTAACACATCTGGTCACCACTTAATAGTGGTATTCTGATGCCACACAACAATAATAAAATAATTCTACCGTGTCACTATCAAAGTGAATGATGCCTCTGTAGGTTAAATCAAGTTTGACTAATGGCCACTAATTCAGAATAGAACGTACAGCCTTCTGAGCATTTGCTCAGTTTCAGAACTCTTCATGGACCTCACAACATCTCATGAAGCAAAAGAGAAACACTACAGGCAATAACAGCAACTTCATGAATGATTCACTTCATTCTTTCAAATAAAAATTCTCCTCTGCTATTACTGATCACCTTCTTTTGTTTCAGGACACCTCCAAAACATACTTTGCAAATCTTCAACAAAATTGTACTTTGCTTGGTTCAGTTTACATCCAAAAAAATTCTCTAAAATAATTAACTCAGGCAGTGATCTGAAAGTCAGGATTGTCTTGGTTTTGATTATTGTCACTAAAATCTTCAAATTTTATTTAAAGTAAATTATTTTGAAGATACATGCACATGAAGCAGATTCAATGGCCACTCATAAAGGTACTTCTAAATGTAACGTAAGATTTCTTTGCAGGTGGCCCTGCCCTGGAAACACTTGACAGTGTCTCAGATACATTAGGACGCAGGAAAACAGGAATTCCTAGAAAAGTGAACTATTTCCTCTAAGCACACAGATTTGCAGATTCCTGGGAGACACTATGCTAACAAACCTGTCTACAAATGTGGCTTCTTTGAAGGGGTGTGGTGGAAGCAAATCACTCTTAGTTCTGTGTCTCCAGATAAATGCTCTGGGTTCATTGCTCTGGGCAACATTGGAAACGTTACACAGAGCAAAAATTTAACTTATTATTGCATTCATGCAAAATAGATAACAAACACGAAAAAATAAACCAATATTGATTCTTTACATTATATCTCACACACACCATTTCTCCCTATCAATCAGGCAATGACTGAGTGCTCCTAAGTGTCTCTAGGTTCTGCACTGAGAAGTCAGTAGTGCTGCCTTTAAAGTCGAGTTCAAAAGCACATAGCAAGGTGAGTAGAAAAGTAGCCACCTGTGTTACCCCTATTTTCCTTTGTTAAAGGCAGAAGAATCCTCCTTTTTTATATTTTTTCTTTAAAAAGTCAATTTCCTAGTTCTTATGACCACCAGGAATATATTTCCATGATTGGAACTATGCACAGTTCCAATCTTTTCAAACCTTTTTACACACCAAATAACTTCAACAACTCACATTCCAATCCCACCTTTCTAGGGGATACAGGCTTTGCAATCTACTGTCATGCCCAGCATGCTTTAGCACCAGTTAAAAATAAATGAAAAATTCAGGGATCTTCTGGGTAAGGAAAGATGAAGTAGTTGAAATATGATTGCCATAACAATGTATTATTATACGTCTTAATTAGTTTTCACTGCATATACAGCTCTTCAAACCCACACAGTCAGCTCTATCTTAAAATCCACATCAGGCACTAATAATTGAGTATTTGCACTTAGAACTCTTTATCAACCCATTTCCTACAGTTATTGGTATACCATGTTACTTAGACTCAGATCTACCTAAACAAATGTTATGATTTCTAAAAACTGATTGCAGCTGTGTGATCCTATGCTACCAGAAGCCAGGTAACAAGCTGAGTTGACATCCAAACAGTACAATCACATTTTGCTCTTGTGAGTTCTAACAGACATGTGGTGACAAATGAAAATTTAACTCCCACTGCATGTGCTATAAAGAGCATCACTATCTCTAAGGCAGCAGTATTTGATACATAAACCAAGCTCCTGAGCTACTCAGTTTTCAGTCTGGAGTATTTACTCAAGCCAATGTGATGCACTTGCTGAAAATGACAGTTGTTCCAAAGCTGATTCATGAGCAGACAAAAAGTCTGGTGGGGTGGAGATGGTAACAACCTACTAAGTGTCTGTCTCAAACCTGAACTTACTGCAGTGAAAAATCACACAGGATAAATCAACCATGTGTATTTTTGCTTTGCCCCATGCAGTCTTTCTTCTTCCTCTTACACCATGAGCTGAAGCAGAAATTGCCATCAGAGAAAGACTCTACATAAACCAGCTGTGCTCTGGCAGATAATTTCCCCAGACAGCAGAATATTGTTTTATTTATCTCCGTAAGTCAAAATTTTACAGTTGTTCCGCGCTATGGGAAGTTCTGTGCTCTTAGCAGAGTTCTGACTGGAGAACCAATACCTTGATTTTTAATTGTTTTGTACATATCTTATTAAGTATTTATAATGATAACGATTACACCATATATTAAAGAGTTGCATAAATCCAGAAGTAGACTATTTCAGGTAGTAGACTTATTTCGACTATGAATGCAAAGCAAAACATCTCAAGCAAACTAATGTACATAAATATACCCTCTTTCCAATTCTCTTCCCCATCCCACAGGGGCAGAACAAGTGTGAGGGAAATGAGCAAGAGGCTGAGGTTAAACCACAACAATAAAACAACACATTTTCCTTCTTTTCTTAAACTGTACAAAATAATTTTTCATAACTTAGCAGAGAATTTAGCTCATAACTCAGAAGGAATTGGAAACCGAAGCTTTCAGTTTGAT